CAGAATTTATGGCTCAAAGCTTTTATTGTTTGGTCATGGGTTAAAATAATATTTGTTGCGATCAGCTGTATTGAGAATTTCCTTGCTTAAAATGAGAAAATTCTTAAAAAATTCACGAATTTTATTTGAGCAAGGCTAAATACAATGTTCCCTATCTAACAGTTTACCTCCTTTCCCCTTTTTCTTTCTTTGTAGAGACATTAAATTTTCTCGGAGAAAGAAACATTAAAAATCTGCCTTCGCCGGGATTCAAACCACAGATGTACTAATGTTAGCCGAACGCGTTACCATTTACAGTACGAAAGCACGCAGGGGATAATTCCTTATGTATTTTCTTCTTTTATTTCTTCTTCTTTTATTACTTAGAGGCATCCCTTCAGATGCATCTAAGTGGCCGTTGCGCTTTATTACAGCTTTTGCGTGATTGCGGGGAGGGGGGGCAGAAGAATTTTTCATTATAAAATTGGAGAGGAGGATCATATGTTGTCATTCGAAAGGAGCTGAGTCTTCTTTTATTGATATTAATGCTAATAAATGTTGGTTTTTGCGAGTTATAGTAAAACTCTTTCTCTTACCAAGTTTCACAATGAATCCTCTGGAGTTCATGGTATTATCGCTGTTCATAATTATGGGTAGCTAGTGAGAGGTGATTCACAAAAATCCCCAGTATAAGGTAATCAATCACTTATTTATCGCTCAGTATGAAGTCATTTGAATCTATCACATTAAAACTTACTTGTAAACAACAACTGAAGACAGCATTAATAAATTATAGGAAATTTATTCAACAAAACCCTTTCTGTTCGAGCTAATTGTATTAATTTTTAGTTTTACATAGTAGACAAATCGAAGCTTGCGAATTTTTAAATTCTTGAAATCTCAGTTGCTGGAGCGAGGATGTTAAATATTTGCATAGTCGCCTGTAGTAACGGCAACCGCCGGCATAAAAGGAGGTGCTTTTCCTTAGTGGCACCGCAGTTCCTTTTAGTTTGAGCCAGAATAGACCTGCCCGGGGAGAAGCCAGGGGATGAGAGATTCCGGTTTCCGCCCTGTTCCGGTTCCCGTCTTGTTGCGGATCCAGTCCTGTTCCGGTTCCCGTCTTGTTCCAGTAAGTTCCGGTCCTGATCCAGTCCTATTCCAGTTCCAGCCTGGCTGTTTAAGTCCAAAACACGTAGGAGCGGATGTCTGAATTCAGCGAAATGGAGATATACGCCGAAAGGGCTAGATGGATTCTGTCTTTTAAAGGAAAGTGTTCTTCACCGTGCCGGCATAGCTGTTACTTTAAAGCACTTTGAAGTTTTTCCACCCAAGATGTTAAGTTTTCGTTTGTGATGTTAAGTTTTCATCAGTGTTGAAGTTCCAGTTAAATAAACCTTTAAGTTTTAGACAAGGTTTTTGTGTTCTTCAGAAAATTTTAGATTCGAAGTCAGATACAACACACAGGATTATTATGGGAAAAATCAACAAGGGAAGAACGCTTTTAGAAAAGCGTATAGTTTCATTTACGGCTAATTTTAGCATTAATTGCCTAAATTGACACACAGAAAATAAGCAACGGAAAATGTATTTTGCCTTTTTTTTTTTTTTTTTGAAGAAACTTATTTCGTATTACTGGAAACTAAACGAAAAGAGAATTCAGTTACCTAATGCTTCTCTTGTTTATGAGAGTATAAATTTAAATAAAAAAATTAAAGCAATAATGTTGATTTCTAGGAGGTAAATAAAGCCTAAGGATGAATACTATATAACATAGATTCCGTCGAAGGGTCGAAATTAGTCTTCAGTTTATACTAAAATCCTGATTTGCTATCAATTGCTTGCTTGTTTAATTCATTAAGGCAAAGCACCTACCAAAAGGGAAGTATCTTCGTAGAGAACAAGCTAAAGGAAACTAGATCGTATTTACGTTACAGTTTGGAAGATACACCTCAAAAATAGCCATATAGCCAGTTCATGAGCTGGGGTTTACACTTTGGTTGACTTAATGCTGTTTACGGTCGACATCCCACTGTTTTGTTTATTTCATTTAAACGTAATTTCAATCCAACTTATCCCCTTGGCCATTGGTGTGGCGTAACTCTTATTGGCAAAGTATACATTTTACAACCTGAAATGGATATTTGTGTCATTATAAGAAAAAAAAGCAAGCTGATGTATTTTTTATGCTAGTAGGTGATACTTTAAATTTAACTAATACTAAACCTTGAAGAAACAATGTAGCAGTGTTGGGCAACTGAAAACCCCAGCACCGACAAAGCATACGACAAAGTTAAAAGCTATTATCATTACTTTTAAACGTTTTCCTGAAGCATATGCGTTTTGCCACATTTTTACGTGTAAGGTACAGCACACGGATAAACAGTACACAGAAGTTCTGAATTTATTTATCTATTTATTTATTTATTTTTTAAATGGTGGGCACTAACCATTTCAATAGGTCAAACGGTCACTACTAAGGCTAGAAGCGGTGGTCATTTTATTATGGAGGCACCTAATTTGCGGCCACCGTTACCTCCTAAGAAAAGACAGACAATTTTATATCCATGCTTACTCTGGGATTCGAATTCGAGCCTTTCGGTAAGGCAGTCAGTTACTAACTAATTTTCCGTCTGAGCTGCTTCTGAAAATGTATAGATTTCTGGTATCATGCATTTGAAAACTGGTAAACTACTTTTAGCGGGTTAATATAGAGACTGTTCTCATTAAATTACATTGTATTTTAAGGATGTAAGAGCTCTTCAGAAAAAAAAAAAAAAAAAAAAAAAAAAAAAAAAAAAAACTACCAGAACAGCACTTTGAAGTTTTCATGGGTGTGATCTTACGTTTGATATTGGTTTTGTTCTATCTGAAAAGTATTTAAAAAACTTATTTAAAATATATTCTATCTAGAAATAAACCCTTTGTTATTCGAGGACGTAATCCTCAGTACTAACTAAGAAATAATGTGCAACCCTTGTTTAGGTTGTGCAAAGCTTATTTGAAATATATTCTGTCTAGAAACAAAACATTTGTTATCCGAGGACGTACTCCTCAATACTAATTAAGAAATAACGTTCATCCCATTGTTTAGGTAGGTGCTTTGCCTTAATGGGTTAAACAAGCAAGCAATTAACAGCAAAGCAGGATTTCAGTATAAACCCTTCGAGGTTAAACCCTAATTTTGACCCTTCGAGGGAATCTACGTTATATACTATTCATTCTTCGGCTTTACTTCCCAGAAATCCCATGAAAGACAACATTATTTCTTTAATTCTTTTATTTAAATTTAAACTTTCATAAACAAAAGCACATTTTAATTTGGTCCTCTTATGTACAGAATTTGCTCGCCCTTGTAATACAGCATAATTTAAAAACTGTTTACTAGTATATCACTTAATAATACATAATTAAATCAATTTGCTGTATTACGTAATTTCTACTGCTGCTATTTAGAATAATTTAAAAACTGTGTACTAGTACATCATGTAAAAATGCATAATGAAAAACAAATCACAGTTTTTTTTTCTTGGCACATTCAGTGCTGAGGCAAACGCGTTGGATGTTTACAAACTACATATAAACTATTATTTTGAATGAAATTCAGTATATGCTGATGAATATTTGAATGAATATATGCTAAACTGACATAATTTTAATGTCATTTAAACATAATATGAATGCATATTTTGTTTCCAAAACATTAAATATTGCTCCATTTAATGAGTTACAAATTTTCTTTTCAGAACAACAAATTTAAGTTTTATTCGAAAATTACCTTTACTACTGCCCGCTAAATAATGGATAAAAAGGATACATGATATTTACAGGATGAAATTTCTGTATGATAAACAGAGTTTGACAATTTTGATTACTACAGTTTCAATAATGTTTAGGTATGGAGCGTTAATTTGACGATTGTACGGATGCACGAAAAAGAACTTGCGAGTTTCTGACAGAACTATTTGTGAATGTGACCACCATATGATAATGTTTAGAGCAATATAAGAAAGTGAAGTAGTCAGTGAATAGCAGCCCTTGAGATACCGTTTGCTACGCTCACACACTGTATAAAAGAAACACCACCAGTCGTGTTAATGTCAATCTGTCAAATACCAGTGGTAACACGCAATTTTCTCTAAAAGCGCTTTGTTGCTATTTGAAGAGACATGCAACATTTTACTTGGAGAGACAAACTCCATGTTGCGAGTAGCTCAATAATTAGGAGGAAGGTTTCATTTCATCGAAGAGATCCATTCATTTCCCAATATGATGGAGCTCTGCCATGTTATGTAGCAATTATGCTGGCTATGTTTAATTACGAATGATTTCCATGAAAACTAATAAGTAGAGTCCTAATATTTAACACTCGAAGCTATCTCCATTGGACTTTAATGAATTACTTTCTTGAGGCTGCGTAAAAGATATTGTGTATGAAATAAAACTTATCGTTCGGTCACCTACATATTATAACAATGGGAATGACAGAAAAAATTCCTTTGGATAGGTTTCCTGAAACCAACCAAGTTAACCAAGGCAGAATTCCGTTTTGATGCCTGGTGGTTGTATATGGGACTCGTATTAATTTGAGCTAAAAAACAATTAAGCTTTTTACTTTATAGCTTAATATTTAATTATATGGTACGCAACTCATATTTCTGCTTTAAAATGTCAAAAAGTAAATTTCGTTGAAAATCCAGTCAGGATTTTTGGGACAACCAATATCTGAAATAATAAACTTGGAGTAATAATGATCTGTTTGCTGTTTTATTCTATTATTACTAGTACCTACTTTTTTGATATGTTGAAAGAATTACGTACTCAGACTTTAGATTCCACCTAAATCTCAAAGCATGTGATTTTTCTTAAGCAAACTGTTATCAGAAATAGTTTTAAAATAAATTTATTTTTTAAATTAAAGTAGAAATTTAACCAATTAGAGGGCATTAACTATAAGCAGATCAAGTACTTATAAAAAGTGGAATTATTTAAAATCGCAGAAAGAAAACCAATAATTTTATTACCTGTTGCAATTCATATTCCGCAAGATCCTCCTCAGATACAACTTCTGGTCGCCAAATTTCATTGATATCAAGATTTCCAATATCCGTTGCATCTGCACAGTATGATGCCATGGTCCTTAAAGTACATGGCCTTTTACAACATTCATTGGCAACCCCACTTTGAGAACTGGGAGTAAGATCTACTTCTGTAGCAGAATCTCCACTGAAGTCATTTTCTATCTCAGAATGTGTCGTTCTGCGCATCATGGGTCGTAGAATCTCAATCATTGCTCTCTTATTAGAAGATCTGTTTGACACTGAAATGAAATATTTATGCCTAGTTCTTGAAAGAAATTTAATGTACGATAGAATAATATTTCATTAACAACAAGGGAAAAAAACTGTTAGGTTTTAAGCTTTTTTAATGCAGAATCTGTACAAGTCATCCGTCTATTACCTCATTCCCATTTTAGTTTAAAGGCATACTTTCGTAAATTAAAAAAATAAAACTGTAATAAGTCTTTATCTCTAACTATCGAATAACAATGAGATTTGTTTGAATTATTTCCTCCATTTTGTATGAAACGTCGATGAAGCTTTTTTTAAATCAAACTTCAAGGATTATCTGCTAATGGACAACACCAGAAAATCATTTATATTGGTTAGAAGTTTAACATAGAACCCTATGGGTTTTCGAGTAGTGAATGTGCTACTAGATCAGTTCCTACAACTGTTTTTCTCCACTTTTCAATCTGTACATAACTGTAAAGAACCAGCCAATATTGCCCAAAATTTAAAGCGAGACTAATAATATGTATATATATATATATATATATATATGATGTACCAGCTTTTGTCCGGAATAAATAGATTGGTGAAGAATCATAGGTGTAGTCGTAGCTTAAATTATCAGGCGATAAGTTTATAAAACAGGATCCATTTATTATATTTCAGAAGAAATAGCAGTTACAAAATCAGATATCCGGTAAATAAAAAAGAATTACTAATAACGTTTTGAATGAAGTTTACTGCATCGTTACATTAAAGAAAAGCCCCCGATATTCCTTTGCGAGTCCTTTTATAGCCTCTGGAAAGGCGGAGCTTCCAAGAAATGACGTCGGCCTCGTCAGCCAATCCAGTTCGCTTTAAATATTTCCAGAACATTCTATAACTGTACGTGTAGAAAAGGCGGGAAAAACAACTTGATTACGGGGCTGTGGATTTAATTCCACGTACTTTCAAAATAAGAGAACGTCGCCATTAAAAATGAAAAGAACATACAGTTAGAAATTTAAGTGTATTCTTGACTATGGAATTTTATTATTGCATATAAAGAATGGTAATGATAAAGGGAACATTAACTTTAAAGGAAATTAATAGTCTATTATAGTTCACACAATAAGAGTCTGCAATAGTACAGATGTTGTTTTTAATAATGGGATATTAAGATTCGACAAAAACATGGGCATAATTCTATCCAAGGACTTGGCTCGGTAAGATCTCATGAACTAATTACCCAATACTGAACAGTCAAGGATAAACTCATCAACTACGAGAAACGGCGCTCACCACGGGTGCAACCAGGGAAGCCGTTTAGGTCTAGTGGATATTGCTAATTCTTTTTTCTTAGTTTAGATTCTTATTTAAAACTTCTCATTTACATAGTTTGGTGGAACAGACGAAAGAGCAGGAATATAGGACTCATTTAATATAAGCAAAGCGCTCTAATTTAGATAAACTTGACAAAGGAAGTGAATTCCTCGTGGAAAATTCTTTGAGAGAAACTGGATCTCATTTTTGTTAAACATGGGAAAATCACAAAGCACCCATGCAACCTGCCCGTTCACCCAGATAAGAATTCGGGTCGACTTCCAGTGTCAGGTGGTCTTACAACTTGCTCGCTGGTGGGCTGCAACAATTATTTGACAACTTTCAAAGCACAGCAGAGCATTATGAATGGCTAAAAATTGTTGCGATTGATAAAAACACGAATCATGAAATCAGATGTTTATGTTTAAAACTTGGATTGGATTATTCAATTATGGCAAAGCACACGAGGGCTATCTGCCTAAAGGGAGGAATGCCTTCGTGGAGGACTTTCGAAGGGAAACTGGCTCGAATACACGTTACACATGGAGAAAACCACGAAAACGCCCATGCAGCCAGCCCGTTAGCGGGGTTCGAACCTCGGACCGAACTACCAGTGTTCAGCGTCTTTATTGCTCGGCCGCTGGTGGGCGTTTAAAACTTGAACAGAGGCATAAAATAAGCCAGCTTCTACATTTGCAAAACTAAACAATATCCTTCAACATTAACTTACCGTCTTTTCTTACTCGAGGGAGTTGGTATCCACCATACGTTTTGCAAACGACACTGAGGGCATCAGCTAATCGTCTACCGCACAGTCTCACACTTTCAATGCCATCCGCTTGGAGAGCAGATAATGCAACGATGCCGAAGCTGAGAAGGATCAGATGCTGACGTAACATCGTCCAAATCTCTAAGGAGGAATTTTCGTTCAAGGAGGGTGAAATGTGAAGTAATGTAGCATTTTCTTGCCTTATATACTTGCTGAATCTCAGATTTCACGGCGTCTGCGCTTGAAGAAAAATGTAACTAACAAAAATATTAATTGCATCTACTGATTGAAGTCAAGAGTCGAAGAATTAAGAGTTCGTGACTAGGTTTGGTGATATGACGCAACATTTTGATATGAATTTATCATTTCCAATTATATTTGCTCATTGGACTGTATGAAGCCAACTATCGAAAACTGGATGTAAGCTATTTTTGGTTTACACTTCAGAGCTTTCTGATCACTGACGCAAAATTTTCCGCCTAGATACCATGAGTTATTTCGCGAAGATCGTTCTTTTCTAAATCAAGAGGGAGGAAAACTGTCCTTAAAAGATTAATTGTTTGAATGCCTATCGTCAACGTTTCCAGATATTTAATTTTGGGTACATTAAATATGCCTTTGTACATATAATATATGTTAATATAATATGTACAATATTGCACGAATGCTTGCACATAACGCATATGCAATGAAAATGTTTACATAGTGAACTTTTTTAATTGAGAGTTAGGTTGCTTCTATATGGGGCTGTGGAAACAAAATACATGGTAAGAGAAGATGCTTCTCAATGATTTCTTACACTTCTCATCTGAAGATCAATTAAAACTGAGAGACTGGAAATATTTATTGACTATAAATATTGGTTTTAAAGTTGCTGTTTATTTCAAAATACATAGAAAATAAAATTGAAAAGTATCAAAATAAAATATTTCAAAAGAGAAATAATAAGTTACACTTCGAATGATTGAATGGCGATTTAATATAGCCATGTATAATAATATCCACTATTATGACTCTGAAAATAACTAAATTTTATACACTACTCTAAATCTCTCTTAGATTGCTATTTTCATATAATTTTATGTGTTTTAAACTTGTTGATGTAAATATCGCTATTTAAATAACCCAAAATTTCTTTGAAAATTCTTGAACTGCTGCCTGAATTTGCTACACATACACTTTTAAAGTTTTAATAACTAATAGCGAGTATAAAATAAGATCTTAACAAATATCTTTTAAATGGTAGTAATAGGCATGGAGGTGTGATGTCAAAGCAATTAATTAAATGTAGATAGATAATTTAAATGTGAGGGTAGTAAAATAAAAATTACATCAAGTATGATTTTAATGTTAAGAATTAATAAAAATATTATACATAAAGCTAAATTTAGTACAGCTTGTTTAGAAATTCACAAAGTAACCAGTAGCAGAAAAGAGAAAAAAGGATATTTGTTATAATTTAATTAAAACCTTTCAACTGTTTAAAAAATGCAATGCTGTAGGAAAAATTCTACATTCAAATTATTATAAATAATTGGATTTTTTGAGTATGGAAATTCGGTAGTCGTTAAGATACTACGCTGAGCAGATAGTAGTTTCTTCTTTTGCACATAGGCATATGGGATTTTCCGCTAGAGCTAGGTATCGAAATGAAAGACTAGAACTTTAAAGTTATTTTTTTATAATTAATGAAACAATATGCACTAGCTTTATTCCGCAAAAAATAATGGATTTTATATGAAAAATTATTATTTAAAATTGCATTTCTTTCAGTAATACCGAGACTTCGAAAAGGATTATGCGCATATAATTCTTTACTTATTGTGCTCGTATAAAGGAATTAAAAATATTTATTTTTCCTTTGTCATAATTCTAAAAATGATTTTTTTAACATTAAAACTGAAAGTATCAAAATTCACTCTCCCTCGGGAAATAATAGAAATAAAGAAATTTAAAGAAGACTAAAATTAAAAGATTTCAAAATATATTTTAAAACACAGTAAATCAATGATTAGGGTATAACATAGAAATTATTTGATTTTGTTTTCGGAGTTTTCTGTATTTAACAAAACTAATCAATTACATAATGAAATAATTGAGTTTACATAAAGAAACTTTATAATATGACTAGTTAGTTAAATACAGATGGATAATTTAAAAATGAGAGTAGTAAAATAAAAAAAAAAAGCTCTCTAAGGAACATTTTTGTTCACGATTAATTAAAAAAATTGACTTTGAAAAAAAATGTTCTGTTTACTTTCGAATTTTTTCAATTATTACCTAAAATATAAATTTTAATTGACTTAAAATCCCTAACCAATTCAAAATTATTTACATTTCTGCATTAAATTAATCTCGTTATACAATATTATATGTTTTATGAATGTAATTTTAAGTTTGCTTATGCAAGTGTTTCCCTCAACCAGAGCCAGTTGGCAATTCTTAAAAATGCGCAAACATAAGATATTGCTTTTAGTTTTGTAATATAATATTGCCTTAATTCTTAGATTTGCACGCTTTTACGTTTTGTTACCTAGCTCTGACTGATAGAAATTCACATTATTGAACACTTCCTTTTTGCTTACGTAAAGAAACTTAAATCTATGTTAATTATTTTATATTACTGCACCATTTTTTATAATATGCCATTCGTATTTTGTTCTTTTGTTATATAGATATAAAGCAAGAAAATTTAAAAAAAATATTTTATCCTTTATGGTTGGCAAAGTGCAAAATGAAGAACAGAAACCGTCTAAAAATGGAAGAAAGAAAAATGTTTTCGTCTTCTATCCCTACGATTATAATACGCTATACATATGGTTTATAAGATAAAATGAAGTAGAAATGATGAAAAATTATGCATGATACGTAAAATTATGAATGACTAAAAAACAGAGATTATATGTAGATAAATAATGAATGTCCTACAGGAGGAATTTCCTCAAAATAGACTTCATTTTTAAGCTATAAAGCATGACATTCAGCACAAAACTTCGTGACACGTGTTCTTGAACATAAAATTGCTGGAGCAATGCTCCAGTCTTCATTTCAAATAGTTAAAATTTAAGAAAGTTCCCATAAAATAACTGATTATAGCGTAAGTCTGTATTGTAATGATCATGCAGAATGCCATATTTTCAAATTTTATCTCTACAATGAAGAAGACTAAGATACGCGGACAGCTTTTGTATCACCAGACGAACAGCGATGTGTCAGCTGATTTTATTCTAAGAGAATCAAGGTGGTGAATCTGTTATATGGGAAAAACTAGATGCAGAAATTATCGAGATTATATTACCCAGGTTGTTGCCTACAAGATTTTATAATAAAGCTAAGGAAACCTGATATGCTAGGACAGCTTTTTGAGTTAGCGGTGAAATTTGAAAGTGTGCGTTTGGAGGTAAATGAGTTGGCGAAAGTACGATGAAAGAGTTACCAAAAGTTTCGGGAAGCCTGTAGCTCAAAGTAGTAGTAAATTTCACAGCAGGAAACGTTTTGGTAGGCTGGCAAAATTGTTCGTCCGCCAAGACATATCGCAAAAAAGCAAAGCGAGTGATGATAAGCAAAAACCTTTAAACTAGGTTGGGGTGCTGTGGATGATCAACCCAAATAAAAGAAAAAGACTCTCATATTCAATTAAATACGGTACTAATTAGAAACGTTTGACTACCAGATATTCAAATTGTTTTGAATGAATTCCTTCAAACGGATTACGAGATAAAAGGGTGCAAAGTAACTTTTTGGCAGAAAATTGTTTCAGGAAAATTTTACAAAGTATAGATTATTTGATATTGCGGAAATCAAGATAATAACAGCGCAAGGGACACATTGTGAATGAGTAGGGCGAATGATTTTTAATGTGCAAGTTAAAAATGGGCAGCAGAAAGTGGGTTTGTTTTGTTGTGAAAAATTTACAGGCAAATGTAATTTTGGGATTGGATTACTTAAAATCAGCTATCGCGCTAATCTATTTTCAGGCCGACAGTATGCAGCTTGATATGAATAAGTTGACTGAGAAAGAGTTGAGCCGCCAGCCTCGGACGTAAGAGAACTGCGTTGGAAAAAGGAATAAAGTTGTAGCAGTTGGTAAGAAATTTTACAGATTTATTTGACAACACTTCAGACTTAACACATGTTGTGTGTCACTCAGTTGAAACAGGAAATAACATCCCTCCCACGTAGAGAAAAACCATACCGCTGGCGATTAAATTAAAGAGAAAATCATAGAAACGCATATTTCGTACATACTGAAAAACAAAATTATAATCTTCGCATTATAGTTCCTGTAGTACTTGGCGCAAAAAAAGAATAATCTTCCTCCCACCAGTTTTAAGGCCTGGGGATTCGTTATCGGTTACAGAAAACTAAACAGTGTAACAAAATATCCGGTTTACCCCTTACCAATAGTAATACCAATTTTAATAATAAAACCAATTGTTGGTAAATTAACATTCATATATTTAAATGATATTATGGACAGAAGCAACACAAACACATTGATGAACACATTCAGAATTTGCATGAAGTTTTTCAGCTTCTAAAGGAAACAGGCTTAAAAATGAATGTTCCAAAATGCTAATTCACGGCCGAAAAAACTTTGGTACCTGAGATAGAAGAAGAAAACGAGATAGAAACAGAGGTTTTTAATTTCTGCAACAAGAAATTATCCGCCACCTGAAATAACTGTTATAGTTTTGCGCTTGTGTTCCTATTATACAACATTCTTTAAAGATTTTGCTCACGTAGCAGAGCCCTAATTAAATCTGAACAGGAAAAGGCTAGATTTATTTAATCGGTGGAAGTGAACACTGCTTCTGAAAACTTTAAGCTAGCATTAATACAAGCCCCTATCATGAAATTTCCTGAAGCGGACGGCAGGTTAGAAATCGCCGCAGATGCATCTGATTTCGTGACAGGAGGTCATGCTTATGCAAATTTTAGCAAAACATTCAGTCCAACTAAAAAAAATTACGCCGCTACCAAAATAGAAACATTAGCAGTCCTACTGGCCATTCAAAAATGTCGAATTTATTTTTCTAAGGAAGTTATTATCGTATATTAAGAGCATGTTGCCATCCTACGTCTATATTCTGGAAAAATATTGTCACCTAAAATCATAAGATGCACTCTTAAATAATAAGAATACAATTTAAAAATTAAACCTATAACGAG